CAAACATAAAGTAATATCCAAAATTTCAGCAATGTTAACTTATCACTCTTGCCACATTTTTTTTTTTACAAATGCAATATAAAAACATTAGTACCGGTATTCTTTTCGGTCTCCCGTTGCTCCAAGCTCATAGCACTTCCACATTCCTCCATGGGAGCACGACTGACAGCTAAGAGGTTAGTTACGTTTAAGATGCCTCCTCCTAAAATAGCAGTCTTTATTCTGCTGCTCTTAAACTGCTTTTACTTCACCAGTCAACACATTTCAGAGGAGGCCGGCTATCAGGGGAGAAGAAAAGCATGACTTCTGTCGAAGCTGAAGGAAAAACACAGCAAGACAGAGAAAGCTGATGATTGAACCAAAGCCTGGCTCACATCAGCTTTACTGTTTCTTATCACTGGGTCCATTTATCTGATCGTCCTGCTCATCATTCTATATTTAAACTTTTTTTTTGTCTCAAGCTGTTTTATTTTCTCTTATTCTGTAATAACCTTTTTATGTTAGAGTTCTATCATTTTTAAAGTATGAGTTGTGTAGATTTTGTGTTTCATGAAGCTGCCTGATGAAATTTTTATGAAAACACATGCTGCTTGTCAGGCAGCACTAGTATATCTGTGTAAAATAAGCAGTTTAGTAAAAGTGTGCTAGATTTAAAAAGTTTAATAAATTATGGGTTTTAAGAGGAGGATTTGTTGAAAGTTGATTTTTTTTTTTTAAAAAATTTGGGAAATTTTTTTTTTTTCTTTGAATAGTTTGGCATACTTAAAATTGTTTTTTATGGTTTTTCTCCTTTTTTAATTATTAGTGAATATTTTTCATTTGCATTAAAACAGACAAAGAGCCACAGGTAGAAGCTTAAAAAGGAAATGTGCTGGATTCTAACGCCACAAAATGGATTTTTGAGATTTTTTTTCTCTTATTAGCCAAAAGTAGACTAATCATACCGCTTTGAGCCATTTACACTCTGTTAATGAATTCTTGCACATCTTAATTTTTTATGCTTTTTACCTTCAAAGGTTATTTAGTGGGCTGCGGTGTTGTACAGTTTGTAGCACTTTTGCCTTGCAGCAAGAAAGTTCCGGGTTTGATTCCCGGATGGAGTTTGCATGTTGTCCCTGTGCATGCACGGGTTATGTCTATGTACTCCGTCTTCCTCCCATAAACCAAAAATATAACTATTAGGTTAATTTGCATCTCTAGATTGTGCTAAGTTAAGTGAGTGTGTGTATGTGCATGGTTGTGTGTCTCTGTGTTGCCCCCCGGGACAGACTAGAGACCTGTCCAAGGTGTACCCTGCCTCTCACCCATAGACTGCCAGAGACAGGCACCGGGTCCTCTGCAACCCTGATTGAATGAGCGGGAGAAGATGGATGGATGGATATTTAGTCTATCTCATAAAAGCAGTTTGCTGCTAACCCAGAGGTTTTAACTGGGACATGTTGCATATATGTACACAACCCTTTCTGTCTGAGATTTATCATTCTTTCAGTGGAGTGTTGCCTTCCATCCTCTTTGAAATGTTTGGAAAAACAGTTTAAAAAAATAATGATGATGAATAAATTATTTGATCTCTCTCTGAGATAAAATAATATGAAGACTTAATAATAGAAATACTAGCAGACATATTATTGCATACAAATCATTGAATGTGTAGCAGTACTTCTTTCACCAGGTTGTTTTTTAAAGATATATAATTAGTCTTGGATGCAAAAAATGAATGCAGTAGTTTCTAATTGAGAACAAATGTGCATCATTGTGTTTTTAAAGGCATGTTGATCCATCGTTTCTGATTTATAGTTCTACAGCAAGCCGTGGGTTGAAGTTTATTAAATCACATGCATCTTAGCCCAGTCCCCTGTAGCGTAACCCTCCTACATACGTGAGGCCGCTGGTCTCTGATGATGACTCATGCTTTCCAGACATTCAATGTTTCATTGCTGAAATGAGTGTGAATACTACTGAGTCACATTTTCACTTTAGCCACATTTTTGCATTTTTATTAGAGTAATTATGATTTTTTTCTGAAATAATTTCCAAAGCAGTATAGAACTGCAATATTATTTAGTAAAGGAAAGAAAGGAAAAAAAAACATTGGTTTAAGACCAAACTTTACTTTATTCCAAAGACAAACAAAGATCAGATAAATGCATAAAAAAAGGCATGAAAGTCCTGATTAAACTTTTCACAAAACTGGAAATAAATTTAGTAAGAGGCTGTTAATTGTTTTGAAGTATTTTAAAACAATTAACATTATTTTAAAAAGCAGCCTCAACCCAGACAAAATAACTAGTTTCTCCAACCTTTGGTTCAATTAATCTTTTACATCACATTAATAATTAATACATTTTTTCATATTTTGATGTTTGCTGTATAATCTTGGTGCACAGGAGGTCAAACTGGCCATTTTATCACTCCACCAACTTGGAGTGATGGCATGGTTTTCTTTTTCTTTGAAATGCTATTTTATTTTTAAAAAAGATGTAACAGAATTAAAAAGTGACACTTTTCTCATATCAATTCTCACTATTAGTTTCCACAAATAGTAGGGATCGTAAAGATATTTCAGAAAAATGAGAGACAGTCTTTTTGTTATCTTTGGCCGGTTCTGGCTTTGGACTTTAGTGTCTCCCATGGATCATTTAAGGCATGCAGTACTCTGGACCAGCAGATGTCAGTAAATTGGTTTTTAATCCCACATTCGAGTTTCTTTAAAACTGGACCATGACATGATGCTTTTGGAGATTTTTTACACTACTTCATGTTGCCAGACAGGTCTTTTTTGTTAGTAGATTGCAGCACTGTAATCTACTACATTTGCTATAACAGATTATTCTGTTATAGCAGAATATGTCTGACAGTGTAGTGCTAAATACAGGTCTGCCCCAAGGGTGCATATTATCACCCTTGTTATTTTCAATATACACAAATTAAATCAGATATGTCTGAGATATGACCATGTAACATTGATCAAATATGCTGACGACATTGGTGGCACGTCTCACAGATGCTTATTTAATGGCTCTCTATGTAAATGCAACGATCAATCTCATGAAATGGTTTCAGAACAGTAATCTACAGTTAAATGTCAATTAAACTAAAGAAACGTGCCTTAGTAGCCAACGGAAACAGGAACTGTCAAAACCACTGTTTAAACCAATTCAATTAAACAGACAGGATGTAAAGCAAGTGGACTCATTCAAATACTTAGGCATAATTTTGGACAATTCTTTTACATTTAATGAATATATTGACTGTGTTTAGAACAAAGCACAGCAAGGGCTCTTCCTGCTTTACCAGCTGAGGGGTTTTAAAGTCAGTGACCACATCCTATTGAGGGTTTATCAGTTCTTAATTGAGATCGTACTGACATTTAACATTGTTTCTTGGTTTGGTCATTTAACTGCTAAAAAAAAAAATAAACTTGGCAGAGTTGTTAAATAGGGCAGTAAGATTACAGGCCAACAACAAATAAATTTGTCTCAGCATTAGAGTAATGCAGTGCATTGGGTTGGTCATGAGATCACAGATGACGATAGTGTCATGATTCTATAGTTAAGTTCTATTCCCAGCCCGCTGGGAATTTATGTTTCTGATACTTTAAGATGTTTATTGCCCTCCCCTGTAGGGGTGGTAAAATATCTTATTTAATCAGATATTATTTCAGCTGTTATATACTGTTTATGACACACAGTCCTACTAACTGTGTGTTGGAACAATAGATAAAAGAGTGATTCAAGCACTAATCATGGTCAAACAGTTAGTTCTGCACATACATGGAATAAATTCACCACAACTTCTGTTCAAAATATACGATTTTATTAACAAAAATCATTCAGCTCCAAGTGAAACGGATTTCAGTTTAACACTCTCAACTAAGACTAGTAAAACTAAACTAAACTAACTACTATGTAAAAAGAGGAAGGGGAAAACGGTTGAAAAACATTTTACAGTTTAAGATGGATTCTGTGTTTGAAACCAAAGTTTATCTGGAATAATTTGGGATATGATCAAATTAGCTTTTCACTAATTTTAAAGAAATTGGAATGTTTTCAGATCAATTCACAATGCAAATCCACGAGGTGAATAAAAAATTATTTGGCCAAATAATGTTTTATTGAATGATTTGCTTAATCAAGAACCAATAACCTTTAGCTAAATGATTCTTTACCTTCCTTGAAATAGCTAGCAGCGAGTAGACATCAGGATTCCACTAACATAATCCTCACAGTGCTTCCAGGTTTCTCTACAGTAGGTGAGTCAGAGCTTGGTGCAGGAGGAAGATGATAGCATTATCTGCCACAACCCAAGGATAGTACACAAACTGAAGTGAATTCAATGAAGTCTTCACCAGGTGGCATAGATGGTGTAAGACTAACCATTCGAGGTTCTTCATCATCTGTGAAGTCAGCTGATGAACCGGCCTTTAGCTGCTGAGGTCTTTTGGATGTTCTTTGGCACTGATACCACACAAGAGGTCTTCCACAGCTGTGGTACTCCACCTAGCCTCAGGCATAAGTTGCACATGTAGCACAGGATGCCATACAGTTCAACGGCACAACATCTCATGGCAGAGATCCAGATTTCCTTGTGCCAAGAAAAAATGTGTACAGAAATTATTTGTACCCTCTGCAAATCAAGGAGCTGAACAAGTTGTAACTTGTTCCATTCCCTTGATGAAGCGAATCTGCTGCTGCTGTGTCTGCAATGAACTCTTCTATAATTGTTTGTTAATGTATTTTATTACATTGTTGTGTGTGAGTAAGCCAAAGGCAAATTTCTGCCATTTTTGTGTATGGTAGACAATAAAATTGTTCTATTCTATTCTATGTTATCATTGATGTATCTCTACAGGGGGTGGACGTTTTTAACTAACTGCTATAAAAAATCCTTTTCCATATCCCATAAATTCCCACTACCCACTGGTGGGTAGTTTTTTTTGTTTAGAAAAACACTGTCCCACAGCCTCTAACAAATATTTCTCTCTTTTTCTTTCTACCTAGCGTTCTCACCACGCTCACGCTCTCTTCGACTTCACCCCCCACCATCCGTCACAGCTGCGCTTCCTGCGTGGAGATGTAATAGAAATCATGGACTGCTCTGACTCCGTACGTTGGAGGGGTCGTTGTCATGGACGCGTGGGTTACTTCCCCCCAGAGTATGTCCAGCCTATTTACCAATGACGGTGACCCGACGTGACGGCAAAAACATGCCCGCGCCTAAGGTTTCATCAACGAGGCATCAGGACTCCTCCCCTAACCCCAAAATAAACTTCTTCTGCGACTCCGCCCAGTGATCTGTGGAGTTAAAGGCTGAATAAGTCTATAATGGATGGATTCCTCTTATGTCTAAGTCATCTCAGCTTTCACTATTTTTTTCTTGACTTTCATCTCAACTGTGGAAGTAACAAAATTGAATCATGCACCCAAGTGTAAAAGGTGAAAGACACAGTCAAAAATAAACAAAAATGGAAACTAACCATTTCTTAAATGTTGCTAAGGATACCTATATATAAAAAAAAGAGCTTGAAGACAGCTATCTTTGGCCCCTCTGTCATTCAACTGAGAGGTTTCTAAGCAATATCTGGAATAGCCATGTAAACCTGTGAACTTTAAAGGTATTTATTTGAGATCATAGTCTGTAACTGGATGTTTTAAATGCAAATCTGGTTGAGTCTAGACCTGTCGCTTGTGTGTGGGTGTGTGGGGTATGTCTTTGTAAAGATTTGGCAGTGAATCACTAAAGGAAGTCCCCATATTGCCATCAGGACTGATTTGTAAAAGTAATACTGCATTGAAAAAACACTGCTTAAAATGTAATGAGCTTCATTTGTTTGACGACCACCTCTGTATATGTATTTATTCCTACTCCTCCGTAATCTATAATGCATATTGTAAATAGAATCATTAATTACTAAAAGGAAACATTTCATACAGTTTACAATACAAACTTGGACTTGTCTTCCATTCCTTGTTATTATGAATCAGTAAAAGATTTATCCGTTTACCTCCTTCATCCTCCTCTCTCAACATAAGATGAATAAAAAGAAATGCTATCACTGTGTCGTTTGAAATTACTACAAATCTAAAAACCTGAAAAAGTATACTCATAAAAGTATTTGAGAAACTAATACCTACATGGTTTTTTTTTACAGTCAAGATTTGATTTTGAGCTTTCTTTTTGCTCCTCCTTTTTAATTTTGTCCTCATATTCTTATATCCTTGAGGATTTTCTTAAGAGCTAATAGAGGAATTGTGTGACTACAAAACATCAAAATGCGAGCATGCAATTGTAAAAAGGAAATACACCCTCTTTCCACATTTAGGTAAAATGTAGGGTTTCTACATTTCATAAATGTTTTTTATTTTACAGTGCTTGCGAAAGTAATCAGCCCCCTTGAACTTTTTGACCTTATGCCACATTTCAGGCCTGTAAAGATAAAGATATAAAAAACGTTTTATGAAGAATCTGTCATGATGGGTTCACTGATGAGACCCAGTAATGCAGAACACCACGGAGGCGGAAACAAGAGTAAAAGTTTTAACAATGTTTATTGTTCACAAGCACATGGAATAATGTCTGGAAGTGGTTCAGGCCTGGGGACTGGTTCACTGGAGTCTGTGTAGATAACAGAGCAGTTAGCTTTGAGAGCAATTGGGTTTGGGTTTGTAATGTTCAGGTTAATACCTTGAGGGTTCCGGGTTGAGCTCAGAGAGAGGAACTGTTGGGTCCAGAGAAGGTTTGATTCAGCAGAGTCCTATAACTGCTTCAGCGTCTTACTTCTGATGAAGGAGCAGACCTTGGCTTTGGGTTTCCAGCTCTTAATCCAGAGCAGCATGGGAAAATCTAGAGAGAAGTCTTCGGGTTTGGCTCAGAGGGCAGGCTCGGCGGAATAAGCTCATCCAGAGCTTCACAGAGAAAAACTGGTTTCCTGGAAACAGAGACACAAAAAGGATTAGAATCCTAGCAGGACTCAGAGGGCAACAAAAGATTCTCAGAAGGTTCTTTGGCACAGGTGCTAACCAACTAGATTCAACACTGCGGCGTCGAGGCAAGGTCTGAAGACAGCTTTTATACTGTGGATCCTCTGATGATGGAACGAACCTCAGGTGCGTCGAAGGCTCGGCTCAGGAGGATCCACGGCGGACTCTGCTGGAGGAAGGTGGTACTTCTCCAGCTCCCAACAGAATCGACAATAAGTAGGACACCATCATGAAGTGCAACTAAATTTTTTGGATATTTTAAACATTTTTAACAATTACAAAACTGACTTTCAATGCAGCAAAGCCTTCCCAGAAGTTCAGTAAAGATCTCTGAATGATCCTATCTTGACCTGAATGATTGATGACGATAAACAGAATCCACCTGTGTTTAATGAAGTCTCTGTATAAAGGCACCAGGCAGGTCCATCATACTGTTGTGGAGAAGTTTATAGACAGATTTGGATACAAAAAAGATGTCCCAAGCTTTAAACATCCCAAGGAGTGCAGTGCAAGTGATTATCTTGCAATGGAAGGAGTATCAGTACACTGTAAATAAGACCAGGCCGTACCTCTAAACTATCAGCTCAAACAAGGAGGAGACTGATCAGCGATGCAGCCAAGAGGCCCATGATCACTCTGGTTGAACTGCAGAGATCTAGAGCTGATAGGAGACTCTGTCCATAGGACAACAATCAGTCGTATACTGCATAAATCTCGCCTTCATAAAAGACTGGCAAGAAGATTGCCATTAATTAAAGATATCCATAAAACATCTACTTTAAAGTTTTGCCACATGCCACCTGGGAGACACAGCAAACATGGAAGAAGGTGCTCTGGTCAGATAAAACTAAAATCAATCTTTTTTGGCAACGACACAAAACGTTTGGTGTAAAAGCGACACAGCTTTTCACCCTGAACACACCATCCCCACTGTCAAACATGGTGGTGGCAGCATCATGGTTTGGGACTCCTTTTATTCAGTAGGGACAAGGATGATGGTAGAAAATTATGGGAAGATGGATGGAGCCCAATACAGGACCATTCTAGAAGAAAACATGTTGGAGTCTGAAAAAAACCTTAGACTGGAAGGGAGATTTATCTTCCAGCAAGACAATGATCCAAACCATAAGACAATATCTACAATGGAATGGTTCACAAAAAAACATATCCAGGTGTTAGAATGGCCAAGCCAATGACCAGACCTGAATCCAATCAAGAATCTGTGTAAAGACATTAAAACTGCTGTTCACAAACCCTTTTCATCCTCCCTGAGCTCCAGCTGTTTTGCAAAAAAAATGGGCATAAATGTCAGACTCCCGATATGCAAAACTGACACCGACTCCAAATGACTTAAAGCTATAATCGCAGCAAAGGGTGGCGCTACAAAGTATCGACTAAAGGGGTCTGAATTATTTAGCACACCCAGTCCTTCAGTTTTTTGTATGTTAAAAAAGTTTAAAATATCCAATAAATTTTGTTCCAATTCATGTTTGTGTCCCACTTGTTGATTCTTCATAAAAAAAAATAACAAATTTATATCTTTATGTTTGAAGCCTGAAGTGTTGCTAAAGGTTGAAATGTTTAAATGAGCTTTAGGCACTGTACCTTTCCAACTTGTTTTGTTAAATAAATAGTAACACACTCATATCTGTGGTCTAATACACTTGGAATTTAAGGACCTGATAGAGACTAGTTCTTATATATATTAAGTTTGTAAAATTGACTGGAGGTGTGATTTCTTTTTACCATGACTGTATTGTTGACTCCATGTGCTTTTATAAGATGGTGTCAGGAATCACATGCTTGTCCTCAATTGCATAACAGCATAACATTACTTGGATGTTATAAAATGGGCTTTAAACACTGCATTCCTTGCAAGTCAGGAGTATTTGATTATTTTATTCAAGTCACTCAAAACAAAGGTCATCTTCTGAGTGTGTCCCCTCTGGCAGTTATCTTGTTACTTCCTCTTTAATGCCTTAAATACCAGGCTTTTCAAGTTTTCAGAAATCACATTTTGCCTGTGTCAAATTGAAACTGAAAACCCTTGCAAAATTCAAAACTTATTGCACTTCCATGAAATCTGTCAGCTGCAACTGTTCACATACCCGCTGGTGAAGCACTCTGTCCACCACTCCCCCCGTGTATCACAGCACAGCCACAGGGTTAGTGTTAAGACAGAGAGATAAATCTTGTAATTATTGCTCTTTACAGTATCTCTCTAGACTGACCAAATCTCTGGATTCTCTGATGTGTTATTCTCTTCAGGCAGACAGCTTTTGTAAAGAATTTAGCTCTGGGGACAGAAAAGCCCATTGATAAAGTTTGATTTTTATGTGGCAATTGGAATAAGTGATTTCCATGCTATTCCCATTTAAAAGTGTGTTCAGGAGTGAACAAATGGTCGAAGATGTCGAGGATGCCTGTCAAACAATGCAGGCAGTGAATACTGGTTGAGCAAAGCAACATGTGTGGTTGTGGTGGACAAATGTTAAAATAAAAAAAAAAATGTAAACCCTGTCAATTTGTGTTGCTTTAACCATTCAGGGGCTTGCTGTGGTTGTGAAATGGGGTTAAAGGCATGAAAGAGCATTCTGTGGTAGAAGATATATGTCAGACGGCTGTTTGTGATGAACACTGATAAATACTTGCCTGCCATAACACTGGCGCTCCGTTTTTTAACACAGTTTAAACTTTTACCAATATAGACATGTTATACATCCTTAGAAAGCTTTGATTCTCCACATTTCAACCACCAAAATCATTGTATTGAAACCATGAGCACCGAAACACAATTAATAAAGAAATAACAGCATGTTAAATCACAATTTCTAGAATAAAGCTCCGACTTCCTACCTTTGAAGTGATCCTGAGGCCGTATTATAAATCTAATCTTAGATTGTTTATATTCCACTTCTCTGTAAGGACCTACGGATAAAAAGTTATCCAGCATATTCATAATAAAAAACATTCCATGATGACAAAATCGGCACATAAACTCAGTTTTTACCATCAGAAAAGTTTGATCCTTATAAGTAATGCTACCTGTCTTGCTAATTACCCTAGCTTTGAAAACAGGCTTTCTTTTCTGTTTAGGTTTGTCAAAATACTTTTCAGCCATTTTTGGTCCAGTTTACACAAAAGACTGAAAAAATAGCTTAAAAAAAGCTGCAGCAGCAAACAAGCGTAGGAGTACTTCTTCGTCCTTCGGCGTAATGGTGGACCACTAGCCAAACAGCGTATGAGTTACGCTTGGAGCCCATGTAAATAACATCATGGCGGCACGTACGTAAAATGTTTAATTGACAATTAAGTAGCCATCCACTTTTGACAGTAGGCAAAGTAGATTGGCTATGTTTTGTTTGCCTCACCATGGCCAAAGTTTATGGATTTTATTTTTTTGGGGGGGGGCCATAAGTGCAAGAATGCCATTTATCAATTAGTTCATTTTAGATTAATCTGGACACTTAATTTTTGTGAAAAATACTCTTTAATACCTTTAAGTAAAATAGTAAAGACAAATCTTTGTTCATTCAAAAACTAATTTAGGTTGATCTGTCTCCCTGCACAGAAGGCCATGATTATTATCTATTAGCTATTATCCAGCCAAAGCTCCTGGGCTGGATCTGGGTGACCCAGGGACACTGGCACCCAAACTCTTGTTCAGCTTTCCACACTACATAGGTCACATGTCCCGCTCAGTGTAGTTGAGGTCCGTCAGGTACTGGGAAAGCGAGAGAAGGTGCTCCTAATTGATGAAGTGGTGGAGCGAGGTAGGCATACTACTATTAATAATGCAGAGATGCTACATTTTCCATTTGAGTAACACAACCACTACAATCAACAAACTCATT